ATTCCTTAAAAAATAGACGATTATTGAAGACTTGCAAAAGTGTGAAATATCAAACTTTTATGGGTCAATAAAACTGTAGATCGGCGTAACCATACATACATTATTAATATTCCCATATATTATTAATTCATAAAAAATTCTATTTACTCGTTAATTAACTGAAAATGGAATAATCACGAATAGTAAGTAGACCAATCAAATATCTAAGTCAACGACGTAGAGATCGAGGCAGCAGTTGATGGCGAAGAGGTAGTAGAAAAACCTGGCAACAAAATGCTTGGTTCATTTATGCAGATCAAAGATCTCCAAAACTGTTTGTGTTTCGGTTCTTTGAAAAGTATCGTGATATTATCTGATCACATAATTAATGCAATTTATTAATTAAAATAATTATTACAAGAGATTATTCAAATTACATATAAATATAAAAAAATACCTTGTGTTAACTGAGGCAAAGATTGTAATATTTCGCGTTCCATACGGCTAGACATATTAAGCATTGGCTCGAGATACGCAGTAGTAACAAATGGCTCAAGATCATCAGATGTGGATGATTCACAGTTATGCAGAAATATCTCCAATGCATAAATAAGATGGTTAATAGTGGCAATTTCCAGAATTTTGGCCACAAGTTCCAGATCATTAAGTTTATCTACTTCACCATAGACAATACTGTCAAATCCCCAACCATCCCCTTGCTCGTTATTATCAAATAGCACATCATTTTCGTTTATAACGTTATAAGAGGTATCGGGTTGCTCGACTTCGTGAAGAAGAACCTCACCAATCACTTCTGACAGATCAGTAGAAGCGCGAAGCGATGCATGGAAAAATTTCGCACTGTGAAATAGACATGCCCATGCTTGATCGTATTGTTGTTGGCGAGCAGATAAGAGACATAGTGATATAAATGCGGCTAGCGTTATTTGTTGAATTCTTATATCAGGTGGTATTGTTGCATGCTCTCTTTTGATTCGAGCATACGGAAGCCATTCGTTGAACGATAGTAATGTTTCCCTGTTGGCATCGACAATGAATAATTGCACGTAAAATGCACACATCCAAATATAATGTAATATAAATTTCATACCTTGCCCATTTACCTAAATGTTCTTGAATCACCAACTGTAATCTGCTAAAAGTAAGAGATGCTAGTGCATACGAATCATCTGTCAATGTTTCTACCATTTGTTCTGCGTCTTTTTTCGATATGACTCCAGCATTGAGCAAACGAAATGAAAGTGCGTATGAATCTATTTCGATGCATCTTGTAAGAAAAATTCAATAATGGATTAAGGAAAAATAGGGAAAACTATATCGTGTTGTTAAATAAACCTGTATTTCAAAAGATTAAAGGATATGAAACGAGGGTCTCTTCAAAGTCTTTTATAGGCATGTTTACGGCATCGCAAATAGTCTTTAGTCCTTGGTGCAGTCGATCAAGATAATCACGATAGAGTGAGCTCTTGTTAAACAATGACGAATATTGGGCAATAATGCTAGCACCATCTAGAACTTGCTGTTTAAATTCAAAATTGAATAAATTTAAAATAATTCATAATAATTTTCATAATCTATTATAGCACATTATATATACCTGTGACAATCGTTTCACCAAAGTGAATTTATAGGTACTGAGATTTTTATCATCTAATAGCGTCATAGTTGATAATTCCGTATTTTCTGTCGAGCTAATTTTCGAACTCTCCTCTGCAAAAATGTCCATAGGATTTGATCGATAAGAACTAGTTCTTTTCCATAACAAACCATTTGATTGACTCGCAAATATGTCTTCTGTTGTTTTCGACTGATTAGTAGTTGATGAAATTAACTGCGGGTCTTCAGAAAAAATATCCTCGGCTTGATCTTTAGTAGTCGAAGTGGCTGCTACAGACATATCCCATCCCCACTCATCGAAACTCACGACACCTTTAGAAATAGGGTCATCGTCACTCGGTAACGGGACATCAATCACGGTAGTCCTTTTGCGACTATGAAATATTTTTGCAGGTGTTCTTGAAGCAGGCTCGAACGTGAATATCCACGTCTTTAAGACGTGTAAGGCCAATAAAGGACATCCCATACGTTCATACGCAAAGATTGTACGAAGAACTAAAGAATATTCTGTTTCTGCGGATATTTGGGCAGCGCCTCTTAAGGTTTGTATTGACTTTTCTTTTAATTGCTTGTATAAAACGATTAATGCTGCATCTTGAGTTTCTAGACTATCTGAAACATTTGATTCTTTGAGCTCCTTTTCGTAGAGTTGTTCGAGAGGCATCTTTTTAAAAGAATTGATGACACATTAGTACAACTAATGAAGATAATTATGCTTATATAAGAAAAATATTGATACCATTGTAGCTTGTAATGCTAGATCCCTCTGGTTCATTATCCAAAAAGCCATGTGTGCAAGCCAACGATCTTTTGTCCGTATGGCCAATGGAATGATATGCTCTTGTATGACACTCTTCAAAACAGGGCCATCATCACCTATTAATTATGTATTTTAAAGCAATTTAAAACAACAAAAATTAGAGGACTATTCTTTGTTATTTACCTTCATATACTCTGCATATAGCAACTGCTAATTGGAAGTCATCCAGATGTTTCAAGCAAACATTCACTGCATCTTTTAAATGATCTCCAAGTAAAAAGAACGAGGCGGCATATTCTTATCAAATTATCGAAAAAAAGGATATTATTCAATGAAAATGCAGGAAAAAAATTTCTCCGAAATGTTAATCGATAAATATGAAGATAAAAACCATAACGCTGTTTCCCTAATAAAACATATGCATTCTTCAGCGCAGCCGTCTTCCATCGCGGCTCTTCAAAATCATTTGCAAGGAATTGCATGGTCTTGTTTTTCTCTTTAAGATGATTAGCGGTCCTCCATAGCGCTAACAATAATTTCTTTTTTCTTAGTGCCATATAGAATAACGCAGCATCAGTTGGATCTCGTTCTTCTTTGGCCATGTATTGGTTCCTTGCGACAATTTCCATTTGTTGACGCTGTATGAAAATAAGAGGATGTTCCAATCAAATCACTTATTATATGTAATTCAATAAAAATCTGCATACCACTGTGTCAATGTTACTAAGCCATAAAAAAATTCCATGATCTCTGGCGTCTTTCCATAAAAAGCTGCCGCCGGAAGCACTTATGCTATACTCGAGCAGCAAATCCTGAGAAAAATTACATGAGAATTTCAGAAATTGCGTTAATTTTAATGAGATTTTTATATATAGGTGTACCTGAGATTCACTGTGCAAAGCCCAAATCATGTCACGATAACTTAATCCAGGCGCGCGTAACGAACTTAGCATTGTCGCATGTTGCAAATAATGATATCGACGCATAAAGATCACATATCTGACACCATTTTCATCTAAACTTCTTTTTTGACTTTCTACCTTTTTAATGTTAAATAACGCACTTAACATGCGCGATCATTCAAGAAAAATTAGCATAATTAAAAGTGTAGTCGGTTTTCTTACCTGAACAATTGTATGAACCAAAGCAAGTAATTGGGCCTGTTCAATATTCGAAAGATCCGGTAAAGAGACATGCATAAGCTGCTCACTAAGAAATTCTGCCGCTTTATCTGTGAATTCGAGTCTATCATCCCATGAACTTATAATTTTACGAAAAAAGTCAAGCATTAATTATTTTTATGAGATTTTGTCTAGGATTCTGCTTTAGTATGAGGAAATAATTAAATTACCCTTCTTCTTCACTATCAGAATCGAAGAGAAGACTATAGCGAACTTTTTGAGGAGTTGGCTTAAAAAACAAATATTTATCAATTCTGTACTATTAGCATAGTGACTTATATACTAAACAGTTATTAATTTCATAACTACCTCGGGCTCGTAATCAAACAATTTGTCAAAAGGAACAGGAAGAATGTGCGTGACTTGTTGATCCGCGTCTTTCATGATTTTAAGATAATTATAAAGATATGCCAGAATTTGCTTAACGAGGTCCATTTTCCCTTTTTTTTTAAATATAAACAATATTAATTAGCCTGTATCACTAACAGCGGCATATAAATTCAAGCAATACCTATAGAAACCCACCCCATAACAAATATTGAAGAAGAAGAGTCGGATGATGATGTGGTAGTGGCCCATTTAAATGATCAACGATATGAAATAAAGTCGGGAATCTATCGTTGACGCCAGTTATACGCGAAACTGATATCGTCGAATCCAAAATAATTAGTATAAGAACTCACACACGAGTCAATTCGAAGTTTCACTTATTATTACCTTGTTGAAAACTATCTTCACTCAACCATTTTCTATAACAACGTAATTGATTTCCAGTTGATATTACCAATGTACCACTTGAACTCCACGATAAAGCCGTGATAGGTTCCGGCAGCATTCTATCACCAGGTCGTCATCATTATTAAAAAAAGTATTAATATCAAAAGAACAAAATTACAAACATAAAAATTCAAAATAAAACGCGTACAATGGCATATCAATTTGAGAAATCAAAATTCCTGATGATCGAACTGATACATCGTATTTTCGTAGCTGTGTATGGATCGTGACTTTTTGTGCAGTGGCAACAGCTACAACAAGTTCAGCATTAGAAGTGAATAGCCAATCGACATCAACTATTGGGTCGCTAATTAAGAGTAACATTTTACATATTTAATTTTTTATGAAAAAAGTTTGTTATTGAGATGAATAAATATCGTATTACAGTACCTAGATTCTACAACATATTCTTTGGTAGCAGCTATACGTGGGGTAATCGATTCCCAAATAGACATTTCATTTCTAGACTCATTTACTATATAAATAGGATTGAAAGATTCTGTCATTAATATGAATCCAAACAAAAAAATCAATAAATAGTCTTTACATACCGAGTGCTACTCGATCATTGGGTCCACATTTAATGAGTGCAAGCCGTTTTTGATCAATGCTAACTTGAAGACTAACCGACCAAATATCCTTTGAAGATTCTGTATCATTATTGGCAGCGTTATCTGCCATAAACTCAAAACGCCAGTACGTTAATAATCCGTCATCGCAAAAAGTCAAAAGTACTGGTGGATTCGAATCTTTTGAATGTGTATGACAACTTGAATAGGCTCCAGCCCATTGACCAACCGAAACAACCATGGATATATCACAGGTGATTGGAAGAGATGCTCGAGATATAAAATTAATTTTGAGATCTTTTGAGGAAATGCAATTGATTTAATTTAGTTATAATTTCTCAGAAAAATTTAGTACTTGACCGACTTATAGGTTTCGAAATGATAATGCTGTTTACAGATAATGCAAGCTCACCTTGACCATTATGTATGACTTGCCAACAAAAAACTGTATTTTGCTTCATGCTTACCCCAGCAACATATGATACATTGTTTTCTGAAAAAGTATTCTGATGTTGAGGAAACGAAAATAATAAGGAAAGCTCGTATGCTGAATCATAATTCTCAAAACGGGAAATTGCATGAGCATGTTCATCTGGATTATTTGTTGAGAAGAGAACTATTTCTCGTTGGTCATATGCTGCTAAAAGCTCCCCTGATAATATTGACAAATATGAGAGAAAGTCTAATAAGGATAGATGGAATAACATAAATTTCTTACCTCCAGGAAGCAAACAAACTAATTTAATAACAGAATCCAAGCAAATAGGGGATTTTTCAACAATCCCATGATTTACACGTAAACCAAACTACGCGGACAATAACTCTGAGATTAATATCCTAAATTTGCCACATCAAAGAAAACAAATCTTTATCTTACGCATACACGTGGAGTTTCAATTGCCCATATAATCACTTCGCCATTATTAGATATCGACACTATATTATTTAGTCCCGGCGCTTTGATAATTGATTTAATGTCATGATGATGTCCAGTCCAAGAATTCTTCAAGTACAATCGCGTAGTTAATCGAGTACTATCAAAGAAGTCGGTCAAGTTGATAGAATAACAATTAATTCGACCATGAGGACCCTGAGCCACGATGGTAAGTTCGGCCGGCATGATTGAAGCTGAAGAAGATTCGATAAAAAATCAATTGAATACGTGAATTATCATTAAAATAATATCAACCTACATTTAACTTTAGAGCCAAGATGATCATGGAATACAGTAGTGATCCCATCAAAATAAGGTGCGTCTAATGGCAAAAGAGCCTGCGCCATGCGCATCAACACGAAAACTCGGGGAACACGACGAGGTCGACTATTCAAGTGCTAATATACATTACGAAGCTAAAATCTTGAGGTTCAAGTGGATAATCGAATTCTACAATCTAAATGTATATGTATTACCTGTATTGCCCAAATAATCATGGATCCATCCCGCTGTACTTGATACAACAAATCCGATTCATCCACGATAAGATCTTTTAGTCGTTTTAATTGTCGACTCGCATAATTCTCCTCTGCTTCGACATCTAGATTGAGCGCGTAATATGCTAAATTCACAGCGTTTATAAATTCATCTGGTTGAATATAATGTATGGGTGTGAATTTTGAAGGTTCATTAGTGGGCGCGTCTCCATTTTCGTCGGTAGTGGCAACCAGGAATTGACTGGGATCAATAACTGTGCAAATGTATAGAAACTGAGGTTCTTCGGAATTTGTTGCCGCCCATATACGGCATATACCATCACGACACATTGTCAAAAGAATATTATTTCTAAAGGAAATAACGAATTGCAATGTGGCGGTTTCGTAAATGAGAACGAACATAGAATGACTAAGTAATCACCAACATAACGTACGCTTGATCTAAAGATGATCTTCGCCATCTAAAATCCGTGACTGTTTGTGGATGCGCTAAATAATTAAAATCATACTCCGGGACACCAACATCAATATCATCAATGCGCCACCAAATCTTTACGTTCCGATCATACTAGATGACGATAGAAAGATTAAATGGTACTCCCAAACAAATAAAATCACAAATAATGCCATGCTTACTTGGCCCGCAACGGCAAGCAACCTGCAGTCCGGTGACAACTTTGTCAAGATTAAATTTGACGCGACACTGGGAGAAATTTTCGCGAATGAATAAGCGGCATTGGACACCTTATTGTTTTTATTTAATTGCATCATGATATTATTTTCTAATGGTCATACACACATGTACACACGCACTTTTGTTCCCATATTTTTGACCAATCCACAATTTCTATGTTATCGGGGTTTGTCCTGTATTTCCATAATGATAGATTTCCGCCAGCCACCCATAGATATTCTTTATCATAAAGCGAAAGATAGAAAAAGGTGAGATAAGGAGGAATTGGAATCTTTGATCTATTTAGGAGCTAGGTTTTTTTACTAACCATTATTCGCGTCCCATGCTGTGCAAAGTACAGGAAGATTATGTTTCAGGACGGTGAGCAGTTGCCATCGCGTCTGCTAGCACATAATTAACAATAATAAAGCACGTGTAAAATTACCGAAAATAAAACTTCATAATATGACAAGGAAACAGTAGAAATTTACCGCGCCTTTATTGATAGCATAAGGCTCAAAGATAATCACGCTATATTCATACGTGACAGCAATCTAAAAAAACAAGATTCGAGCAACAAATCTAAATTCATTTCAAGCAGCTTCTCGATATTCAAATGACATGATAGATATATCTTAAAAAAATCTATCTGCGCACTCTCTCCATCTCATTAATAATATATAAGCACACACCTTTCCGTCGTGCTCTGAAAGTTCAACAGACACAATTTGATTCTCTCTCCGATTATGTAAATTCCCAGAAATCTCATATAAGCTTATAGTCTGCACATGCTCAAAAAACCCATTATGTATTACAAGACTATCCCAGGTACTATATAACTAGGTCATAGAAATTTACAATATTTTTAGTTTTTATTCAATGATTCAGGAAAAAATAAGAACATATTGGCTAGAATGTTGCTAAAAAGAACAGGTCCAAGCTTACAATGTAGCGAGTGTCATTCCATAAACCAATATTCAAACCTTGAACAAAACCATTAAATTTTCCTGGACAAATTTGCTGAAGCAACATTGTCAAATTCAAATATTTCGTGTATTACAGAACCACTATTTATATTTATTTACCAATAAACTAAATTTTTGTCAGATCCGTCGTGATAAAAGAATATTACATTGTTATTTTGGATTTCGCCAATCTAATTTAAGGTGGAGACAAAAACATTTTCGAGATTTTGCTTTTCGGCAATAGTTTTCTAATTTCGTAAATTGATAAGCATCTTTAACAGTCTTCAAATTTGACACTTTTGGACTATTCGATAATTCAAGGCTTAAAAATTTAATTGGGAAGTAATTTTTGGTGTTCTGATGGTCACCCGTTTTGAATCACGTGTCATTATAATGCGATCAATATAAAAAATAAATATTACGCATTGTTTGAATGATCAAAATATCAACTCACTTTTCTCATTACGTCTTCATGGATCAAACTCCACGTAAAGATCTAATCAGTCTCTCTAACGGTGGTGCACACATACCTCCTCCGAAATCAACAGAAGTGGTCCTAGACGAAGACTCGTATACCGAAGCAATAAGTGAAATCATTAAGCGCGATTACTTTCCCTCTCTTAAAACCTTAGAAGCGCAACATGGTTACCTGGATGCTTTAAGTACCAGAGATCCCATATTACTTCGTGATGCTACGAGGAAACTTGCCGAAATAAATACTCCCATGAGAAAAACACCAGGTATGAATATATTACATGAAATGAATCGAAACTTGAGCTCAATTAATGTTACTGCTTTTTTGTTATAATTAATGATAGCGGCTACTCCAATAATATTGAGGACGCCACGGGGAGGAGAATGGGATACTCCGGTATCAACAAGAACATCAACATCGACTAGAATTACAAGCGCCACACCACCCGAAAAGAAATATGACATCAATTTATCGTTGGATGCATTTCAAGCGAAATACACAAGTGAAGATAATGCTTCATATCCTTTAATAATGTGTGGACAGATTTTGAATTTCGATTCATAAATTTTTGGTTTCAAGTTCTCGAAAGATCGCTTTTTTTATGGTAACCCTTTTTTTCTTCAATGGAAACCCTTAACAATTTCACCTTTTCCGAATTGATGAAGAAAGCGGAAGAACAGCGAAAAGAAAAGTATAAATGGATGTATGAAAAAGAATCTGGTCCGTTATTATTGAAAGATGGCACGGAGGAATCGCAGAAGTTAATTGAAGGGTCCTCAGAATCAAGGCCCGCGCCAATTGAAACTTGGAAATATAAAGTATTTTATCTTAGCGTGTAAAATTATTCCTTATTGCCAAATTTGAAAATCATTCAATCTGATTTAGTATATTCAATTTTTAATTGTCTTATTTTTAAGGTAAAAAATGAGCTCATGTTTTATCCGGAGGGGCATACATCACAACCTGAAGAGAATCCCCGGATCGCACCAAAACAAATTGCTCCAGCAAATACGCGTTTTGAAACACCTGACGAGACGGTAGCTTCTTTATCTGTTAAAGTTAAAAAGTTTCATTTGATCGTATTAAAATATCATCATCCCATTGATCTCCCATAGAATATCAATAGTCATGCTGCAACAATCGCAACAATTGCGGCAGGTCTCGAGTCATATGCTCCATCCGGTATGTAATCTCGTCAAATCAAATTTTATAAAGAAAAATTTACTTAAGTTATTTTATATCTATCTTTTAATTTGGAATAATGCTAGAATCAACTTCGGAAGCGGGTACACCCAGGGTAGCAGGGTACGAGTTTGTATCGCCAACACCTTCACTTAATCCTTCCCAAGTAGACAGCTCAGAATTAATGACTTGGGGTGTGATAGAAGGAACACCTCTTCAAATTAGTGGAGATCAAACACCAGGTAAACGATGTTATTTTCCAAACTTTGTTATTCGTGTTCAAGTGATTTTAAACTTTGATTTTTCTTATATATAGGTCCTACTTTTTCATTACCTCCTACTCATCGTAGAGAAATGCTTGGTATGAGCCTTTCAAGCACAGCATCTCGAAATATTCGCAAGCGAATTAGCGCAATGAATACTCCTCGGACACCTTCGTCACGGAGTGCATTAGGGGCGAGGTAAAGCATTTATTTGATAATAATATGAATATTGCTGAAATACATACACATGTATATATGCATTAACACTATGTCATTAGAATGGCAAGCACAAATACGCGAACATTATTATTATCACCTGCAGCAAGAAAATTATTACGGAAATCACACAAAACACGTGCATCGCCAAGCCCAGATTTAGATTTACAGTTAAGGTCATCATATGGAACTTCTCTTCGTAGTACATCATTGAAGAATGGTATGTATTAAATTTTTTAACTTGCTTTTGGATATTCTTGCTTATTTTTTCCCCTATGCTTGATTTTTTTAGTTCCCTTTTCTCCCATGCGACTTAATTCGCCATCTTCTGCATATATCCGAAGAAGTTCTGGGGCATCATCACAATCGCCTTCCATCACAGCCAGCAATGAAGCCTCCGTGTCTAGAGATGTCGTTGCTAATCAATAATATTACAAATTTGTTCCATTCCGATTTTGTGTTCATGACGATAAATAAATTACCAAATAGAGTTAGCTGATTTATTTAAATTCTAAGTGCAGAATCTTTGGTTCTTAAAAATGTTCGAATACACTTTTGAAACTCTAAATGTGATGCGTCCAGACGAATATGTTTTACATGTTGAATTAAACAGACCAAAAAATCATAATGCATTCAATCAAGCGTAAATATTTCTTGACAAACTTAATTTAGACTCGAATGCTTTAACTTGTCGAATCTTTGATTAGAGTATGGCGAGAACTGAAAACTTGTTTCACACAAGTTAAATACGATTCTGAAGTACGAGCTGTTGTAATTTCGGGAGCAGGAAAATCTTTTACTGCTGGAATAGATCGTAAGGAATGAAGTCTTCAGCATGCACTTTTTTTTATATGAACTTCATTCCTAATATCTTTGAATTATAGTATTTGAAACACCGTTGGGTAGCTTAAACGCATCAGAAACCGATCCCGCTCGTAGATCCCACTTAACGCGTCTAACTGTTATGGTAATCAAAACATTTTTTTATATACTCAATATTGTTTCTAATAATCCTTTCGATATATCGTTGTAGAGCTTACAAGATTCCATTAGCTCAATCGAACAATGTGACAAACCTGTGATTGCTATAGTGCACAATAACTGTATTGGCGCTGGAGTTGATTTAATAACCGCGTGTGATGTTCGATATTGCGCTAAAAACGCGATTTTTTCTGTCAAGGTAAGCCAAATTGATTGTGTGATGTTTTGCAAATGATTCGTACGTTCTATTAAAGGGTAAGTTTATCTTTTCTTTTTAAAGGAAATTGATGTTGGGTTAGCCGCAGACATTGGTAAAAAGTTTGATTTTTTTTTTTAAGTGATTCTTTTGTGGAAAACTTGAATTTGATTAGATGCTTATATAATAAATGCATCGGTACAGGCACATTACAACGTTTACCCAAAGTGGTAGGGAATGACAGTTTTGTGAGAGAAGTGTGTTTAAGTGGACGAAAGTAAGTTGTCGGAAATCTTTATCGTTTGATGCGATCGTTTCTTTATAATGAACTAATTGGTTCATTTCATATTTCTAGTTTCTCGTCGGAGGAAGCATTGACTTTTGGATTGGTAAGTAAAGTATTACCGACGAAAGAAGACGCTCTTGGTATGTATTTGTTAATAGAAATTATTAGTGACATATTTCTTTGCTTACATGCTATTTGATTTTACTTATCAAGCTGAAGGTCTAAAAATCGCCAAAATCATTGCTTCGAAATCTCCTGTTGCCGTCCTCGGAACGAAGTGGGTCAATGCTACTATGTTCAATGTAATTGAATCTTATAATAATTTTTAATCATATATTTTTGGATGCATTAATCTTACTGTTAGACACCTACTGAATTTTTCGCGTGATCATTCGATCTCAGATGGACTCGAATACACGGCTGTTTGGAGTTCAGCCATGCTAAATACAAAGGTGTGCCATTATAAACATTCATTATTGTTAATCTATCGATAAAGCTTTGATTCTCAATTTGTAAATTTCCATTTGGTTATATTGAAAGGATGTTGATGAAGCTGCTAAAGGATTTTTGGAAAAAAAGCAACCAAAATTCTCCAAACTCTAATCATCTTTTCAATACAATTCTATAATTCTCGAGTCAAACAATTATAAAACAGGTGTGAAATCAAAAAAAAAATAAATAATAAAGATTGTGTTATTATTATTGTTATTATTAATTTGCAAAATAATATTCCATTCTCAAAATGAAATGTTATTTTCAATCCAAACTTTGAAATGATTAACTGACGCGTACAAGCTAAGCAAACCTTCCATACACATTATAAGATATAGATATCTCTATTACATTAATTAAGATGATTATTAATTTGGAATCTATGAAATTTTTTCCACCAAAATTTAAACTAAAAATATGAATAATGCATCAATTACGAACTTTACAACAATTACGAATATTATACCAATTACGGCAAAAACTACGATTTTTAAATCAAAAAAGCTGCGACCCTTTCAACTTTATTAAACCTATTACGTTACGGGACGCAACACTAGTTAAGTGAGGAGATTATTAGCTGTACTAAGCGCCACCTCTAAAAAATGCAAATGAAAATATTGTTTAGCCCAAATAAAAGATCAGCCACACCAAACACTCGAAGTGACAAGAAAACTCACACTAGGATATTATTGATTGGGATGTGAATCAATTTTACAAAAAATCCGATGAATCCCATCACAAAGAAGCCCATCGCAACTGCTTGAGAAATTTTGATGAATTCTAATATAATCGAGACAAACAAAAAGTTACGCGTTAACCTATTGGTTAGATTCCATCTTATTTTTTGGCTTTGAATTTTAGATAATTTTTTGTGAGTTAGGTGCTCGTAAATCTTTTTATTTTAATGAAGATACGTTCGTGTGATTGACGGATTATGTAGATCAAAAATAACTAGTAGACTAACCTCGTCGATCCGGTTTTGTACATCGGTTTAGAAACTGTGTTCCTTCTTTGACAAACTGCTTTGGAGTGTCAACTACGTCTTTTATGTATTCTGACATTATGCTTAACTTATTTTTTCTATGGATGAATAAAGTATAGAAAGAGATGTAAGAGATGAGAAACAGTAAGCGGAAACAATAATTTTATGAATATTTATATTTGGTTAATCTACAAATATAAGTAACGTAACAAATTATAATTGGTCGAAATTTTCTTAAACCAATAAACCAATAAAATGATATTCATATACTTGGTTTGTTCATTAAAAATACCCCTCCCTTGTAAAATACTTGGAAAAAAAGGCATCATTTTTATTTAACACAGTGTGACAGGTTCTTTTAAATACGATATTAATTAATATAATTATCTACGATCAATGACATCAAGGTATGCTATATATACATAGAATAAAAATACATTATTAATTCTATTATGTGCTCTCTATTTGTTTGTTATCATCCTTTTCTTGGAATGTGAGACTAACGCTATTTACGCAATGTCGTTCATCTGCTTCTGTGAATTTCCATCCTTCACCCTATAATTCATGAAATTAGTCAATTTCCCAATTAGTCTCTCTAAATCTCAACAATTGATTAATTAATTCATACCTTAAAAACATGTCCTAAATGTCCACCACAATTAGCGCAAGTAATTTCAATCCTTCGCATTCCATGTGAACTATCTTCGTATCGTTTAATAGCACCTACAATGAATTTCAATTAGCTCAATTAAATTTTTCATCAAGTCACATCCATTAGATTACTCAATTAACCATTTCATCAAGGTTTACCTGGAATTGCGTCAAAGAAAGCTGGCCAACCGCAACCCGAATCAAATTTTGTATCAGATACGTATAGTGGAGCGTTACATGCCGCACAGTTATATACACCTTTTCCTTTAAATTTATTATATTCGCCTGTCCCGGGTGCCTCGGTTCCTTTTTGACGCAAGACACGAAATTGTTCAGGTGTGAGAATAGCTCGCCATTCCTCGTCACTTTTTTCCATTCTGTTCAGGATGAGACTGTTTGTGCTATTGCTGTTTTTATTTCTTTGTGAAGAAAAGAATGATTGTATTTTCGATGAGAAAAGTAATGGTATTGTGATAAAGCGTGTTGTAGTAGTAGTTGTATTATTGCAATTATTATTATTATTATTATTATTATTACGATAAAGAAGTTTTGTATCTTTTTTTGAAATTATCCGCCAAAACTTGATGCCCTTTAAGAATGAAGAATCAGAAAAGTGCCGTTTAGCTGTAGTATTTATAGAAATTTTGTTGTTAGCAAATAATCTCATCATTGCACGAAATCGCAAAAAAAATCGTGCATACAAAAAATTCAATGAATTCCCAAGACAGGAAATTTTCGCCAAACAAATAAGCATACAAAGTTTAACCGAATTAGGAAAATCATTGAATAAGAAAAAAGCGTCATCTATTAGATTAGTAATGCTCTTATTTTTGGAGTTTTGGTAACCTCTTTCATTATCAGATGCCTCTTCCAAAGTCAAAGAAAACTGCAGGTCTCGGAAAAGCTATTATTCGTGATAGATTTAAAGGAAATACGCGTCCAAGAGATGGTGATACTACTCTGGTATGTCTCATACTGTCACAGTTTGACATATTCGACTATATTTAACTGTCATTGTTAAATTCACGAAATAAGCATACAACAAACTTAGACGACGGCCCAAGTTGGACAAAGCTACGCTCCATCACTCAAGAACGCGATCTGGACGAGTTTTTAAATACTGCCCAGTTGGCAGGAATCAATTTTACCGCAGGTAAGAAAGAAATTTTTCGATTCAAACAAATTCTCAACATTTCGTACTCGTGCTTATCAATATTTTAAAATCTTAGAAAAATTGAACATTACCGTTGTGACAAATACGTATAATAACCCCTTTTTACTTGACGCCGAGAAAGAACGGGAGACACTTAAAAGACATGCGGCAAATAAAGATAAATTAACCATTCCACGACGGTATATATATTACCTTTTCCTTATGAGTGAAATTAACCAAATTTCTGACATTTTTTCAAACAATTTTTGTCGTCAAACAGACCTAAATGGAATAAGACAACCACCGCCGAGCAACTAGAGTATCAAGAGAAAAATGCCTTTCTAAAATGGCGACGCAAATTGTCCTAGTAAGCTAAACCTGATTTCCTAGATTCGATTGAATTTTGATGAATCCAATGAATCAACCAATACCTTCCCACAAAAACTATGAATTTTTCCAGTCTACAAGAACAAGAAGAATTCCTCTTAACACCATTCGAGAAAAATCTCGAAGTCTGGCGACAACTCTGGCGTGTCATCGAACGTTCACAATTGATCGTCCAGATTGTGGACGCGCGAAATCCGTTGTTCTTTCGTTCGACAGATCTAGAAAAATACGTGAAGGAAGTGGATTCAAACAAAAAAAATGTTTTGTTGGTAAATAAAGCGGATTTGTTGACGGATAAGCAAAGGTAAAAGTAATTCGCGCAATTCTTATAATCAATGCATAAGGCACTTCATATTTATATAAAAATCGCACTGACTAATTCTTCCTAGACAGATTTGGGCAGATTATTTCGAATCACAAAATATAAAATATATTTTTTTCTCGGCTATTCTTGCGCAAGTTGAAAATTTTGAGAATGTACCAGCAAAAGAATTAGATGATGAATCTATTCAAAAAGAATCTTTAAAGACCGAAAACGAAAATGATGAAAGCAAGGTAAGTTATTTATTGTAAAATAGTATCTTGTGTGTATTATTTGGATCTTATATTTATTAATATTTATTCATGATCAGACAAAGGTTGTCAATCCAGAGCAAGTTGTATCTCAGGGAATTTCAACGACTTCAATATTGACTACCGATGTTCCCGCTCACAAAATTAATAAAGACAATGTTTTACAAGCTTCATCACCAATTCTCGAAAATGAAGTTTCAAGCAAAGATGATGAGCTTGAAGAAGATATAGATAACAACATGGAACATTTAAGTATTAATCAAGAGAATATCCTCAACGTGCACGAAAACGATATATCACTTCAACCTTTAAGAGATGAACGAATTCGAATTCATACAACTTCTGATTTAATATCTTTGTTGGTTGCAGAAGCAAATGAAATTGAAGGTATTTGAACTCGACTATAAAAACTGTAGAAATTATTACTATCAAGCTCATAATAAATAAATTAAATAGGTACCGCTCAAACAGATGCTCCCCAAAAGCTCACGATTGGTCTTGTTGGTTATCCGAATGTCGGGAAATCATCAACGATTAATGCACTTTTGGGCCAAAAACGCGTATCAGTATCATCGACACCCGGTAAAACTAAACATTTTCAAACCTTACAACTCTCATCAACGTTGACATTATGCGATTGCCCCGGGTTGGTATTCCCAAATTTCGCTACGACTAATGCCGATATGGTGTGTAATGGCGTGTTACCAATTGATCAGTTGAGAGAGTTTACTGGTCCCGCGGCATTAGTAGCTCAGCGAATCCCACGAAAAGTTCTCGAAGCAATTTATGGAATAACGATACGCACTAAAAGTTCAGATGAGGGTGGAGATGGCGTTCCAACCGCTGAAGAATTGTTGACTGCTTATGCTAGTAAGTATGAAGTCAATTTTTTTGTTTATTGATGACATGTTTGGTAGTAGTTATTTACGTAATTTACATTGTAAAATAGTCGCTCGAGGATTCACAAAAGCTGGTTTTGGAGAACCTGACGAATCACGCGCAGCGAGATATATATTGAAGGACTACGTAAATGTAAGTAAGCAATTATATTGAATTTGAGTACATCAATCGAATTTACTAAATAAAACTTTGCAGGGTCGGCTCCCTTTTTGTCATCCACCACCTGATACAATACCAGCGCGTGAATTCAACGCAGAATCACACAACATTGACCATTTTCTAAAACTAAAAAAAAAATCAACGGGTGCATCAGCAGATACTAAAATCGAAAAAGGAGCTGATATCTTTTCTTTAGGGACATCATTATCAACGTCAGACAATAGTGTTTCTATGACTGGAGAGAAAGCCCAAGTTTTAGACAAATCATTCTTTAGCAAACCGCCAACTGCTAGTGTGCAAGTTAAGGGCAACAAATTTGCCTCATTTAATAGCAATAATGGTTTTCATCGAGTAAACATTTACCCGTTACATGGGAAAATTGCCGACGATGGGACATTAATAGATACGAAAGAGGGATTTACGTCATCACAATTTTCTATAGCTCAGAATTTGCTTTTATCGCCTGCCATTGGGAAGAAACATCATAAGAAAGGCAAAAAAAATGTTAAGAATAGAAGTAGGTCCGGTTATGAATAAAACTGAGAGATACTAGGAATGGGGGGGGGGGGCGTTTCTTTTAAAACTAAGTTAAATTCGGTTTAAGAGGTTGATTTTTAAACCAAACTTTGGATTGTGACTTAAAAATTGGTTTAATGTAGTTTGTTTCACAATTAATTTCATTTATATTGTATATGAACAATTGAATTATATATCAAACATGATCTATTTGTGATATGACTTCCATATTAAGGCGGAATATAAGAACAGTGCAGAAAATATGGATAATAAACATTAAAAGTTTAGATATTAAATATTTATATCATAATCAAAAAAAATTATATCAAAGTAAACTTTTAATTTTCAAAATGAAATATTAAATACAATGCTAAGTTGTAATTCTTATTATGAAATTCTTCTGTTTAATAATTCTTCAAATCATGTTTGAATATTTTCAGTCCAAGAAATCTTGAAATTATTAACTGTAGCTTGATTATAGTAGATGTTTAATCTCACAAGTCTCAAGAGATATATATCTCTCTAAATGAATGGGAATGACATTTATTTTGAGCTGATTCTTGAATTTTTCTTTTTTTGTCTTGTCAGCCTCTGCTATGACTTTTTTTAATATGAAATATAATTAGTTCAATTTTGATTGATCAAACAGGACTTGATTAACAAGGATAAAGAAAAAGTCAATGTACCTATTTCCAAGCTAAAGAAATTAAGTGATTTACATACCAAATTTAAAGTTGATTATTTTATTAGTATTAATTTGGTACTTCGGGATCTAATAAACTAAACGAATTTGATACCAATTTAGTTGAAAAATTGGTATGTTCATAGTTCTCACCAAGAAGCTAAAATTCACTAATTAAAAATATTCATTTAGATCACTTAATTTCTTTAGAACGACAACATAAATATATTTTTTTAGATATTATTTAGGTTATTAGCTTTAAAATGAGTATAAGAACCAGATACATTAATGGATGTTGGAGGCACTAGAATTTTTTCGTAAAAAAATTTTTTTTTATGTGAGCTACTGTATAGCGTACTATCGTCAGCAGAAGTAAAACTAAGCCATACTGATAGAGATTGAAACCGGATTGTTTTAATATCTAAAACCGATTTAAATCCGGATTTACAATAAAAAATTAAACTTGGCACCAATCTCTAGCTACTTTTCAGCCACGACAAACCGCTTATGCGTAGATCGTATGCTCGCGTCATTGTTGAGAACAGGATAACTTTATTTGGGAATGAGACAAATAATGATGAGTCTTAATGTTATCATAAATAAAACGTGTGAAACAAACCCGGAATTTTCATTTAACTTTATTGTATCAGCTCCGTACTACTAATGTGCATAACTAGACGTTATTGAGTGTGGCGCTGCAACTAGTGTTTAGTTTCTAAGTTTTAATTTTTTTAGTTCGGGCAAAGAAACTTGTCAAATAATACATGAATAATACATGAAAAGAAGTCTGCATGAAAAGTTTACAAATAGTCTTCGATATAAATATTCTGGAAGTTATATTTTATTCAGCAGTAACAAGTAGAATTTTTTAATCAATATCATCATTTTGTCTTATTTTTCGTTTCTTCGTTTTTGGCTCCTTGATTTCTGCCATTCGTTGCCATACATCTTCATCTTGGTCACTTTCTTGTTTCTCATCATTAACTAGGAAAATACAATTTCATTAAGTAAAAAAGTTCTTAATCTTTGAGATAAATATCATCGAAAATACCTTTGTCATATTCGTCAACATTGTCATCAACCAGCAGACACGAAAGTCTCTGCTTCAAATAGACTTTGTGTAATAAATTACGGGTCCCTTTTATCTCGTGAACACGTAAAAAACGGTCAAGTCCAACCGTTACTAATGATTCGGATTTTGCGTGTATTGCCAAATCACGTACGGATCCGGTAAACCCTGTATATATGTTGAATTGATAAAACTGCTATTTCGCTAGCTAACGCAGCATACAACATAAAGGGTTTGTTACCTTTAAACTGGCCCAGTAATGACCCTTAATTGATGTTTAAATGAATACATTGTAAAACTAATAAAACCGAGATAAGAAATTTCATAATTATGCATGCTTATACCTGCTCGTACATCCATTGAATAAACATTACAAGCCGTATCCGAGGCAAATATTTCGCTGTGAAAAATAAGCCATTGTAATTAATTAATCAAAATAGACATAGATTCGCAGAATGTGGGGAAAGGGGAATACCGACTATGGATTTCGTCCAACACAAATCGAAACTATAGGATGTTCACCAATCTCGACATTTAGAACTGGTCGTCGTGCAGTTTTTATATCGTAAAGACGTATCTATGGAAAAAAAAACTAGTAACTTGATTGATTCTAATCTACAAATAAACTGATAAGCGCTACCTGGTGATAGTAAGTCCCCACCACAATTCGCGAAACATCATCATTGTCCATAAATTGCAAATCTGTAATCCAAACAGGAACTCGCATATCCAAAAAATCATTCGGAAGATTTTTAGCGCGCCATAACACTCCAGGCGCCTCTTCTTTTTTCTTTTGATACTTCTTGTTATAACTATTTGATCGCTCATTTATCGGAGATTTGCCCGCCTTATACTCATTAATGTCCCATGCTGTGAGATCGCGTTCTTTCCCACCGAATGCAATAATGTGATTTTGTTTGGGATGCACACGTAAACAACAAAGATCCGATGAAAGTGTTATCGTCGTATTTGACGAAGTCTTCTAAATTAAAAAAAATTTTGGATTTGCAGTTTTTTTATTTACCGCATCTCGTCAACCAGAATTTTCATGATCGGTGTATAATTTTCATAATGAGGGAATGATTGCTTACTTCTTCCGTTGATGATGCTAATGAATAATATCGCAACACTCCAAAATCAGTACAAGTCACCAGAGTACTAACGAAATGTGTACAAGTAAATCTCAATACAAAATAATAGTTGATTTGTTAAAACGATGTTAAATTTAGAATCAAACCTCTCATTAGCAAAGAGGCCCACGAATTTTGAGGACCGCTTATCAATGATACTCTTTTTCTCAGTAGAAGCCTTTTCTTGGGCGGCAGCGTTGAGCATCGAGTCTTCCCTGAACTCGTAAACAGATTTCAATTCTTGTTGTGAAGGATACACAATATTTATTTCACCATTTTGTCGAGCTATAACAATCTAAATATTGATCGAATTTATTAGGCTGTAATTCTCACCAAGTTGCATCAATTTTTATCAAAAAAATTAATCTCACTTGTTTATTAAGATCTTGATCGCTCTCATCATTAGTAATACGTTTACAGATTGCTTGAACACCACGAGAGCGATCAATTTTTCCCCATGATTTGATGATTGTTTGTGTAGCGGGAGCACTTGGATCTTTCTTAGTTGATTGAGAAGACTTCGAGGGTATTGTCACCGCTAAGGTTTGTTAATTAATTTCAATCAATTAAATTTTTTCTTGCAATTCAAATAATTGATTAATGGATTGATTAAAATGAATGATCACATTTTATTAAGCCTGTCTCGTCCCCCACCAAAAAATTCATGTCGCATGCACAAGTCACAATGCTTTAGTACAAAAAAGTGATCCATATTAATGACCATTAGTTACACAACTACCACAAACCATTATTGCGCCATTTTCGCGCCATGGTTTATTTGACGACGATCACTAATCACAATAAATAAATAAATAAATAATATCGCTTTTCTTCGTGAGAAAAATTCAAATCTATTGATTGAGATAATCAACAAAGAAATTTTTATGCGCCAATTGCGTGATCATAAATATTGGGTTGAATAGCTTTTAAAATACTCTTTAATGAGATCAATGAATTAAATGAAACTTCTGACGCTATTATACATCATCATCTAAAAAAACATATATTATATTACATGACGGGCATCAAAATATATATGTAGATATATAAAATATTAATAATAATAATAATAATTATTCCTATTCTAGTAAATTAAAACTTAGTTAACTAAGCAGTAAATTAATTATGATTATTATCCAAAGATGAATGAGGGAGGAATGAATTAATGAAAAATTAGTAGGATAAATGAAAGGAAGACATGAAAAAAGGAGAATTTTAATGATGACGATATAAAAAGAGGGGAAAAAATAAAAATAAGGGAAATTAATTTGTATAATTTATAATAAATTCTAATATAATTATAAAAGTACTAAAGTTCGCAATTATTTGTATTGATCGACTTATGATGATACTAAAAGGAGTGTATTTAAAGTTCATTAATGGCAGCACTTATTTATTGTTAACTATCACATATATAAATATATATTTTTAATTCAAGTTGACGATGATTCAGCTTTTACTTTCAACACAGTTTTCAGGATTTCACATCTTCGTTCCATAACAACAAGAAATTCTTCTACCTGTTTTCGGGTCATCTTCTCAACTAACGCCATAAAGCTTGATTCATCATAAAAATCAAATGGTGGTGGCATATAAGGTTGATTGGTAGTAATAGTAGTAGTGCCATTAGGTTGGGGTGCAATGGGCACCAAATTATTTGTTTTCAGTGCAGAATCTGACGATGAAGATGCAATCATTGAGCTTTGCGTTCCATATTGCTCGTTTGATTGAGGCGCCATGGATATTAAAGATTCGAGTGCGACAAGAGCTTCGGGTTTCATCGGTTCATTTTGTGCTAGTTCATGTATTTCTTGTTTCTCTTTTTGCTCCAAATGCTCTTTTTGCTCTTGCTGCTCTTGCTGACTTGTAGCCGCGTCTGCCAGAGTTAACAATGCTGGTGCAAGGGATAATGGTAAAGGTGCAATAGGACGCTGTGAATGATTAAGTGGTGACGGTGACATGGCTGGACTATGAGGATTTGAATCGGCGGATATTTCTTCAGATCCTGACCCTTCGACGTTACTTGCATTCGGATCAGGGCTACTAAAATTGGAACCCCAGTCACGACGTCTACGCTGAATTTTCGATTTTCGCATTGCAATTGGTCTGTCTCGATTATGCATTTTTGCATATAATCCACATGCATTACATAATGGTTGACCTCGTTCATTTTTTCGCCATAATGGCGTTTGGGTCTGACCGCAATTATTACATTGAACAGGTATTTCAGTGACAGTCGTCGAACTATCCGAAGATTGATTCATATTGTGGTCGAGAGGTTCTTCTTTCAGCGGATGTAATGGCTCCTGTTGCTGTTGTTGTTGTTCTTGATTCTGATGATCTTGCATGTCTTGATCTTTTTGCTCTTGTTTTATTTGTGTCTCTTGCTGCTGCTGCTGCTGTTGTTGTTGTCCTTGTAATTGCTGCATTTGCTGTTGTTGCAGGTTTTGTGCCATTTGTTCTTGTTGTGCTTGCATCTGAGGCAAAAGTTGCAAGAGAGGTTGTATTTGCGGAAGTAATTGTAATAGGGGTTGTGCCTTCTCTTGCAACTGTTGTTGGTTCATTTGCATCTCCACCGATTCTTGATGCTGCTGAGATGATGATATCTGTGAATGTATTTGTATTTGTGGATGTATTGATTGTGAGTATGATTGTGATGATTCTGAAACTAATCCTCCTCCAGCATTCATAGTAGATGATGATGAATTAGTGCTAACATTGTTATTATTACTTGAAACTCTTTGCTTCTCAGCTGGCAAGATATAATGAGGATATGGCCGAGACGGTGGTCTAGTCTTATGTATAATGTGCAAAGGTCTATGAGTGCTATACTGTTTATAATATAGACCACACGCATTGCACAGCGAATGCATTCTATCAGGCGTTCGACGCCAAAGCGGTGTACTATTAATACCACAATTATAGCATTCGAGTTGACGTGGTTGTCTATTTAACGTCTTCTTCACGGGATTTATTGTACGTTGCTGTGCTGCTGTTGTTGTTGTTGCTGTTGTATTATTATGTGTGTGTGGTTGCTCGGTATATGATGCAATCGCGGCCAGATGTGAATTCGTAGTAATCGCAGTCGATAGATTTGTCTGATGTTCCACGGTAGCGTCTGGCATCTCGATATCTACTTCTCCGGGTGTCGGTGGTGTAGTCGATTGAGGTGTTGTCTGTGAAGATAGAGTGTCTGTATCAGAAGTGTCGCCATTAGCGCCTTCTCCTTCGACGCTACCTTCACCGATATGTTTTCGGGATGTAGTAACAACTGTGAAACGAAAACGAACAAAGAGGTGACGACAAAAATGGTTGGTCAACTGAAATCTTGACAATTACGTGAAGCAAAGGTAAACATTTGTTCGTGTACTTACCATTATTCTCCTTTTTCGACATTTTTGTCACTTTTCAATATGCACGCTTTATTCTATTAATGTGGTTTTTTTAAAAATGATACATCTCGTTAACCAACTGAAATTTGTGTAAAAGAAAGAGATGGGGGAAGACATTAATTACTCACCACAAATTACGAGAGAAAAACTATTTATTGTCTTGTAAATGACGAACAATAATAGGCCAAAAATGAGACTTTATTTATTATTTTACGGTGAATGAAATGTTTCTTGTTGGGTAAAGTTGCATAACGATAAATGAAAATAATAGATATATTTTTTGGTTACTATTATATCCGATAGATGATGATAATAAATAATACAGAGACAAAAGTGTGAACGAGTAAATCGGTTTATCACACTCTATCACCGCTATATCTGCAAATAATCCGAACGATGACATGTCACACCCAATCTTTTTGTTTTTTGTGTATAGATCTTCCGAAATCTCCTCAATCTCCGTGTTTGCTCGTATAACACGATTTTTGCTTGGGAAAGTGATTCAAGTCCCGCTCGTAGATATAATTGGTTAAGCCCATCAGTTCCCACACTCCACACACGCAAGACACAAAGTTGGTCAATTTTACGGTCACAGCCACATACTTTGCTGTCGATGATTGGCTTAATTCTGTCACGGCACATAAAAAATCGGGCAATTTTAATTGTATACATGTTTCTTGTGTGTGAGGTGGTACAGAAGGAACTTGATATTTGTTTAAAAAACTTGGGGTCATTGAAAATTCCCATTATTGAAATACATGTATCTTCCTTGCAGATGTTGGTAATACAAAGAGATAAACACTACCAATGAAAAAAGATCTTTATACCAAATCCCTTTGTCTAAATCCCATTGTGTGTATCATTCTCTCTTTGTATGTGGTAAATGATACACATGTGCTTAAATATCAAATTATAGTTAAAATACAATGAATGAATCTCTCCAGGTCGTTAAAATAATCAGGATCGGATAAAGGATATCACTAGTTACCACAATAATATCTATATATAGATTATCAAACAATAGGTAACGAGAGAAACTTAGTTTTGGAACTTTAATTTAGTAACCATTGTTCAATCTCGGCTGTCTCATCATTTATATTACATGCAGATTGGGGTTTAAAAATCCGATATCGGGTTTTTTAAAAATGCAAAGCTGAGAATAAAAAATAGTATGCAATAATAATATTTTATTAGGCACATGACAAGCATTCTTTTTTTGTATGATCCCAATCTAATCTGACGATCAGTTAGAAATGATTTAATCATCACATTTCAGAAGGGTAAGCCCCTCGTCACCTCGATCTTCATACGCTTTCAACGTGTCGTAATCACTTGAGTAGAAATAAGTACGACCCGTAGCGACCCCGACACTCATAAACCTATTATCGGCGGATAAATTAATAGCCATTATTGGGCTATCATGATTCGCAAAATTTTTGATCAACGGAGAATGTTCGTTGAGCCTCAGATCCCAACCACGCACACATGAGTCTGCACCACCAGTCATGATGACGTTACCAGAACTCCAAACCACCGAATTCACCCCCTCGCGATCATCATAATTATTATAATTGGATTTTTGTTCATGCTTGAGGAGGTGTAGATGTCGTTTCATTTGACGGATATCAAAGACGGTAACCTGATTGCTCATTCCACCGACACCAACAAAATTACCGGACGGGGAGAAAGTGACTAGGTTTGCATCGTCTTCGTTGGTTTCTCCTCTGGCAAAAATTTCATTTGCACGTGGGTCAAAAAGGTACAACATCCGGTCACCTTTCTCCGATATAGTTTTTTTCCCATTTTTCTTTGATCCACCGGTAGTTGCACACGCCCCAATTTTACCACAATTTGAGATCGTAACACATGACACACTCTGTTTAATTTTTACTTTGGAGAGAATATCTCTTGATTCAAGATCCCATATTTGAATCACACCTTCCCCATAACCACATTTCCCATAATATCCAACGATTAGTTCATTAGCAGATCGTTTCCTACCAAATACGAGATCACTTGCTACTCGATCTCTAGACTCTGGATTTATAAATGATGTCACATTTTCAATTGAATGATCCCCGCCATCCCATTCTCCAATCCTAAAAAGTGAAACGATTCCTTCGTTTTCACAAGTAGCGAATAATTCTTCGTTAGATCCCCGTGAATTATCAATCACTAATCGATTGATCTGGCTATTACAAGGATATGTGTGCAATAAATCACCAGGATGATCTTTAGTATCCCATAATCTGACGGTACTGTCAATTGATACCGATACCATCATATTACCATCAGCTACGAATTTGACATCAGTCACCGTTTTGTAAATTTTCTGAGATTCTTGTCTTCTCGGATCTGGTCGTATGTTGTGACCACCTAACGAATATATTTTTGAGTTGAGGATGTCCCAATATTTTAAATTTCCTATGGTGTTGTAAGTTGGATCCTCATTGGCCACACATGCAATTGCAAGTTTTGGTCGATCTTTACTATTGAAAGAGAGTTCCAGTACGTCGCCACTGCTGTCGTGAATTGATTTTACAAGTTCAAGCTGATCCAAACTTACCCGTGTTGTGACTGTCGACATGTGTCTCGTTGGGAGACACTTTAGCTCCTTCTCCATTAATAAATTCACCGTTGATGTCTGATGTATTTGATTATAGGTGAATTGCAGAGATGATGAATATGAGAATGTTGTTGATGTGTTCTTTTCTTTTTCCGCTTTGAACTTCTTTTTATCGTTTGCGCAATCTTTTGTATCTGATTGAATCAATCGATTCTGCGATCCATACTCATCTTTTGTCCTTTCCTTCATCTCTGCTTGAATCGATTGACTATGTAATTCAGATTCAAAAACAATCTCTTCCCTAAGAGATTCCACCATAATATCTTTTGCTATGGGAAAATCAACAATATCATGATATGGATCCGATTTAACAAATCCCACTTCTGGTTCCTCCTCAAACTCACTGAAATCATTATCTTCAATCACGCTCAATTCACTTTGGGATAACCGTTCGTCATCATCGTCATCGATTAGACTTATCAAAAAGTTTGAATCCGGTGTTGAATGTCCATAACTGACCCTGGGATCTCTTTGTATATTATTACCATTAATATTATTATTACTACTACTACTACTACTACTACTACTACAACTACTACGATTATTACTATTATTCATATGAGCGGATTTGTGTTATACAAATTAAGTTTTAGACGCACCCTAATTTTCAAAAATGTGATTTATGATTAACCAATCAATCAATACAAAGATTTGATTGGTTGAAAAACTTTGTACGCGTTTTACTTGCATTTTACGTGTCATTATAATAAAGCGAAGCTTTTTTCTATTTAGAAAAACTAAAAATGAGTGAAGACTATTTTTCACAATCCTGCTACAATAATGAAACAGATACTTACCCACAAACGCCTATTATTAAATATAAAAACCATTATCATCAATTAATATATACAATTATCAAAGAAAGAACTTATTATAAAAACAATATATGGCAAAAAAAAACCACTAAAAAAATTACTTATTATATCAAGTATATTTGTGATAAATCCTACTTTCAAATTGAATTTAATGAAAATAATTTTATTTTAAGTAAGAAAAGTGCTTCAGCAGCAGCAAATAAATATCAAAAGGTAATTATATTTGAATAAACTTAGAAAAACTATAAAATTTAATTATTTTTTTTTACATAACAAATAAAAAAACAAAAAAAGAAAATGTGAATGACTTTAGAAAAAGCTAGTAATATTATTGAAGAATTTGAATTAGAGTTAGAATCAGATAATTCAGACAAAGAAAATGATAGTTTAAGAAAATGAAAATTATCAAAAACCAAATGGTCAAATGTTTATTTATTTGAATTGTAATTATAACAAATTAAAGAAATTTGTAAAGCAAAAAATCATATATTTCATCTCAAGTTATTTGATAATTTTTCTAAGTCAACTCAAAAATTATAGATCAAAAAGCTTGAGATAATAGTATACAAAAATCTTCAAATAGAAATCAAATCTATTTTTTATAATGATGATTAAGTGATCTTAAATTAATTGATTTTTATTATAATAAAATTATACTTTGTCTTATAGATCTTTATTGTATTATATATTATGCTATATGTGACTTACTGCATCACAATCATCTTATTTTGTCAAGTATAATTAAATTATTTTAACTATAAAAAGTTTTTTAATAGAATTTCTTTTCTTTCTTGTTTTATTAATATAACTAGTATATTATCTATTTTATATTTTTATTTATTTTTTATATCTATATATTAATAAGTATCTTTCAGAAGTACTATTATATAAGTATTATATATTATTAATTTCTTATTTATTATTATTAATTTTATATAATTATAATTTATTATTTAAAAATATTATATCTATTTTGTAATTTTAATAATGATCATCATAATAAAAATTAAGTTTTAAATATAATAATTTTATTTATTCTTGAATTAATTTTTTATGTAAATATTATTTCAATTATTTTACTATATCTTGAATTTTCTATATGAATTTTTCTGATATTTTATATTATATAACTAAAAAATTATATTTATTATAAATAATATTTTATTTAAGATTTTATTTAATAAATTTAAAAAAATATCTAAAAATTTATATATATAATTTATAATATAAGTTATAAATTATTTTCTAATCAATATATTAAGCTTTATTACATATTAGATATGATCTTTCAAGAAAGTAAACTATATTAGTAATAAAAAAAGCTAATTTACATAAAAATTTTTGATCTTTAAATATAAAATATCTTTTTGATAAAGAAGTTTATATAAATAATAAAAATATAAGTAATTTAATTGGTAAAGATATATATTAATTATTAATAAGTATATTAAAGTATTTTATATTAAGTTAAATAAAAAAAATATGATTAATATTTATAATCTAATATTTTATTTATAAATATTAAAAGATAAATATAATAATAAATGCAAAGTTAAATATATTATAATTACTATTATATTACTTAATAACTTAATTATAATTTTTTAATCTAATTATTATTACATATTAATTTTATATTTAGATATTGAATTATATAAATTATTATTAATTATACTAAGCTTTTTAATTTAAGAATTAAAATATGCTTTTTTAATATACAAGAATATTAATAACAAATAAAATTTATACTTTAATATTAATTAAAAATTTCTAGTAATATATCAAGAATATCAAGCTATCAATATTAATATTTATTATTTATAATATAAATATATAACAAGAAATAATAAAAATAATAAAATTATAATAAAATAATTAAAAATATCAGTTAATTATTTAAAAAATCTTTATTTTTTATAATTTTATTAAAAAATTAGTATTTTAATAAATTATATATTTTATTATATATTTAAAATAGATTTTAAACTTTATTAATTGAAAAATTAAAATAAAAAAGAAAATATAATAACAAAATATAAAAATTAATTACTATAAAAATAAAAAAAAATCAAGTAATGTTCAATTTTTAAAAAAATAAAGATTCAGAAAGCTAATAATATATCTTTCTTATAAATGATAATAAACTCAAAATTTTAAGAGATTTTAATTGAAAATTCTTTTCTCTTTAATATATATAATACTAATTTAATAATTATAAAATAATTTTCTAAAACTTTATAATATTATGAAAGATAATAAAATAATAAGAAAAGAATTTCAGATTAAAATAAAAATTTGACTTAAATTATTTTTAAAATTCTTTAAAGATATATTAAATTCAAGAAATTTAATTAAAAACTTATATTAATTAATCTAACTTTATATATTCATATATTAGTATATTATATATTTAAGTTACTTAATATTTATTAATATTTTAAAATAAATAATTTTTTATATTGTGTAATAAAGAAAAAAAAAATCATTAATAAATATCTTATTTTTTTAAAAATTTTTTAAAAGATAATGAAAAAAATATATAAAAATTAATTATTTTAAAAATTAAAATTAAAATCTCTTTTTTTACTTATAATATATTAATTTATTTTAAAAAAATATAAAAACTTTATATTAAACTTAAAATAAAGATATAATAATTTTAATTTAGTTTTATTAAATATTTATATTTTATTATTATTTTTTATATATAATAAATTTGATTTATAATGAAATAAAATTAACTTTTACTTTATAATTTTTAATATTTTGTAATTATTTTTTATTTTTACTTTAGTATTATTTCAAATTTAAGAGTTTAAGATTTATATTATTAATATAAAAAGAAGCTTTTATTAATATAAAAATTGATATTAAATTAAAATAAAAAAATCAGTATTATATTAATTATTTATTTATAATAATATTATCAAATTTTCTATTTAGAATTATTTAAAATATAACTTAATATCTGATAAGTATTATTATTTAAAATATTATAATTTATTTGATAAATAATATATAATATAATTTTTAAATATTATTAAAACTGATTTTGAAGAAAAAGCATAATTATATATTAATTTTCAATATTATTAATAATTATTTTTATATAAAATACATCAAAATCTGATATAATTCTTTAATAACTTTATCTAATAATATATAAATTGATACTTGTAATATATTATAAGTATTATATATTTAATTTTTATGTATTGAGAGTTTTAAAATTTCTTCATAAATAAAATTTACAAAAAATAAATATTATTATATCTGATTTATTAAGTTTATAAATAATTATTTGATATTAATATAAATTATAAGATATTTTAAATATTTTTTTAAAATATAAAAAATAAACAAATTATATTAAAGTAAAGAAGAATAAAGAAAAATTGATAATAATATAATCTTTAGATTATATAAATAAAAAGATTAATTTAGTATAATATTATATATATAAAGATTAGTTTTTCTATTATAATAGTTAAATTTTTATATATTTAAATTTTTTATTATAATATTTAATTTCATGATTTATATCTGTCATTACTTAACAAAAAAGATTAATTTCAGATGAAGAAAATTGATTAAATATATAATTTATTAATTATTAATGAGATATTAAAAAGTAAAATAAAATTTTTAAAATTTATAATGATTATTTAACTAATTATCATATGATTTTCAGATATATACAAAGTATTTAAGATTAATATCAAGATTTAATAAATAATTTTTATCAATATGCATTACTATAAACTACATCAGAAAATTTTTTGGGATGATTTATATTAATTTTTATCATTAGTTATATATTGATATATATTAGAGTCATTGATGTATATTGAAACAGATATTTGATATATATTGATATACAGTGTAGTCCATAAGTATACGGAAAATTTTTCACAGAAAAAAAATATACATATCTTTGTCAAATTAAGGCCGATTTTCACAATTTAAAATGGAAAAGAATTATCATAAGTGGGTTATTCGCAGAACTTCTTCATGATACCATTTCTTTTATTTTTTTTTCTTTTTTACTTTGGTATAATTATAACTTCTAAGCAAGAAACTAACCATCAATTCATTTTACAATTGTGAAATCAGAACATTCAAGATGCCAAAGAAATCCATATCATAACTAACATATCCCTTTCAACAATATATGATAATATTAATAAACTCAAAAAATATAACATAAATAAACATGCCAGAAGTAAAGGTAGATCCAAGAAGATAACTGCATGAGCATCAAAGGCATTAGGTTAATATATATGAAGGGATTCATCTATTTCAATGAGAACTCTGGTGATGAAATTATTAAAAATCAATATAAACATGTCTTATCAAACGGTTAGAAGATATTTGGCTACTCTCAGATACAAAAAAGTACTCCCACTAGAAACGCCAATGCTTACTGATACTCATAAATGTAAATGTATGGCATGGGCTTGCGAATATCTTGATGATAATTGGAATAATACTTTCTTTTTGGACAAAACAGCTTTTAAACTCTTTCAAAATATAGTAGAGTGCTAATATAAGAGAGCACAGCCGATACAACGTATACCCAAGAATCAAAGAAAGATTTTTGTGTGGGGAGGATTTTGTATAAATGATAAAAGTAGTTTATTTTGTTTTTCTAAAATTATGGATGCCAAATTCTATGTTAATATCCTTCATGAGCATACTCCAGAAATTGAGCAATTGATAGAAGATGAATAGCAGTTCCAGCAGAATAACGATCTAAAATATATGAGTCATCTTGCCAAAGCATTTCTTGAAGAAATCATGTCCGAAGTTTTGGACTGACCATCTAACAGTCCCAATTTGAATTTCATCAAAAATCTCTGGTGTATTGTTAAGAACAATGTGGAAAAGCATATGTCAAAAAATTTAGATGAACTGCGTCATTATATGATAAATGAATGGATGGATATTTCTGAGTCTACTCTAATTAATTTAATTAGATCTATAAGGCGTCGTTATGAGCTTGTTATAGAAAGCAA